CCCTAAGACAGGGTTTAGGGTTTAGGGTTTAGGGCTTTGGGGTTCTAGTTCCTAGATCCCAAGGACAGGACCGGGGTCTCCTGAGCCCCACAAAGACATCCCCGCGTAAGGAGGGCACATCTCCTCAGTGCGGTAGCCCCGCCATTCCTCAGCTCATCGGCGCTAAAGCCCAGCGCCGAACCTGCCGTCCTGAAGCTCTCAACTCCACAAGGGCCCCTTTGAAAAGTTCCCAACATAGTACGGCACCCTTTCAAAAAGGACCCTAAAAGGGACCCTAACTTAGAGAACTACCCACAGCTGCCAGTGTAAGGCTTGGGCGGAACAGCTGTAGTTGCATCGTCCTGGCACGGCCACTGCTTTCTGCAACCTGCTACTGCCACTACGGAGAAGGCGAAGGCGGATCAGTGCAACTAGATCAAGGCATTACTGCAAAATCATCCACGCAGCAGAGACGCAACATCAACATAAATAAAAGGTACGGTATGATCAACAACAGCAGCAGCCGCAACAACAGCCAACAGCGCTAGGCTCTCTTGCAAACTTCTCCCATGGCAAAAATGTTGGACCGGCTGAAGTCGAGCCCCAAAACCAGCTCCAATGTGCCCCGAAAGGGAGCGCCTGGATCCTCTGGGATCTCGCTCATCTGTATCTTGGGGTTCATCTGCTCATTCAGCCTCACACGGAGATCTTCGAGCCTTCTTGGTTTAGAGCCTAAACCCTAAAGCCCTAAACCATCACCGTTTCAGTCCCCACCCCTGCACCCGCGTGGTACCCTAAACCCTCAACCCTAAAGCCCTAAACCCACGGTGAGGTCTAAGAGTCCCCCCGATCCCCATTTGCAAACGTCCGAGCTGCACTTCCTGGCTGTCAAAATCATACTGCACCATCGGGAAGGGTTCGTAGTTGGAGTGCCAGTACCTGAAGCTTCGGGGGCTTGGGAGTTTAGGGTGAGCTTTGGGGGGTTCAGGGTTTAGGGTAGGGGAGCTTTGGGGGTTTCGGGTTTGGGGTAGGGGAGCTTTGGGGGTTTAGGGTGTAGGGTATGGGAGCTTGGGGGTAGGGTTATAATTAGGGTAACTATACTTACAACCCCCAATTAGGGGACTTATAACCTTACTTACTAAGTCCCATGATCCTCCAAGTAGAACAAAAAAACATACTCCCGAGACTCGGAGTCGCAGAGCCGAATCCTTATGCCCGAAGCATCAAGCCTGAAACCCTGAAAAGCTCATAAACCCTAAACCTTAAACCCGTAAGGGTTTAGGGTTTAGGGTTTAGGGTTTAGGGTTTAGGGAACCCTAGGTTTCACGGTTGAGGGTTTCAACCGAACCTGCAGAGATTCCCAAGCCATCGAAGAAGCTATGGCTTTGGCCGTCGAGAGGCCGCCTGGGCATGGGATTCACCAACAGCCATTTGGCCCAAAGAGGAAACACCAGCCTGAGCTTCCGGAATCGGGGGTTTAGGGTTTAGGGTTTAGGGACAGCAGAGTTTAGAGAGATGTGTAAGGCTTAGGGTTGTAGTACTTGGTTCTTTGACAATTTCAAGAATATTAAATTGTCAGGATTTAGGGTTTTCGGCAATATGGATGGTGGCAATGACGATGGTAATGATACTGGTATCCATACTGGCAGTGGTGGTGCGCATGCTTTTGGTAGTGCTTCTGACAATGTACGACGGCAATGACGATCACTGTACCACTGTGTTGTCAAACCCAACCCGTAATAGGCACAACTATAGCAATCACAACAACAGTCATTACGCCCACAAGAACGTCGCATTTGCATGTGCAAAATCTGCAATAAGTGTGCAATCAACATCATCATCATCATCATCATCATCATCATCATAACTATAGTCACACTGACAAGCACAGCCAGATTCACCAGCGTCATGTTCATCGCCGTCATCGTTTCATCACCATCTTCTTCTCATGCAGCATCACGCAGCGGAAGGAGTATAGCAACTGCTTCGAGTCGCCAATCAAGACGACAAAAGCCTGGCCCTGCACCGTGCCGTAAGACAAACCGCGGGATGTCATGCCGCGCAGTCCTCCCTGCAGCAGTAGTTGGTCTACGATTCAAGCAAGCCTTTCTCCATCATCTTCCTCTCATCGACGACCCTGTCAGCTGCTGATCCGCATACTCCTCCTCAACTACCACTACGGTCTAGGGGTTTAGGGTTCAGGGTTTAGGATAGTAATAATGGTAGCGGCAAGGACGCGACTCGGCAGGAGGGATTGGGTGCGGAAACGCCGCAGAAATGGGCCCTCTTCGTGTTGAGTCTGTTTTGGGCTTGTTGAGTCTGGGGTGTGCGTAAGACTTCGAGTTCTGGAGTTTAGGGTGTAGGGTTTACGCTTGAGAGTTTAGGGCAGTTTAGGGTTGAGGGTTTAGGGTTTAGGGTTTTGAGGATGTAGCATTTAAGGCTCTGGGTTTCAGTGCTTTAAAGTCGTGTTTAAAGTGCCCGGGCCGCTTCGGATTTCGACTGCTTCTCTGGCGGAGTTGGGAGATCCCACACTCCAGACGGATGTATAGGGCCCTATAAGGCTGACCTGCGCTATTTAGGGGTTTAGGGTTTAGGGTTGAGGGTTGCTGCCTCGAAATGCCGAGCAAATCCCTTCGGGGTAGCACCGCACCAAACGAAAAGTGAGCCCATCACCCCATGAAGCCAGCAAGATCGCGCTAGCCTTGCATCTTCCCGAGGGTGCAAAGCATAGGCCCGCAAGGGGGATCCTACTTTAGACCAATCACCACTTGCAGATATGCAGCAAGAAGAGCAGGAACTGGCAGACCTTTGTTTAGCACGGATCCACTTCCCAGGTGTTCAGGGGTGGGGGTACAGCTAACATAACTTCCTCTTTGCCTTCGTTTTCTTGCTGCTCACTGCTTGTCACAACACTTGCCCTTGTTCGCTGACTATAGCCAAACCGCAGATGATGATGACGACAAGCATGATTAGGAAGAGGATGAGAAAGACTACAGGTGACAGCAGAAGAAGAAGCAGAAGAGCCAGCAGTAGCGGTAGCGGCAGTAGTACTAGTTGTAGTAAGTGCTAGTAGTAGGAATAGTCGTGGTAGTAGCATTAGCAGTAGTACTTGTGGTTGTTGTTGTTGCTATTGTTGCTGCTGTTGTTGTTGTTGTTGTTGTAGATGTTGCTGTAGTTGGAGGAGTAGTAGTAGTAGTAGTAGTAGTAGGAGGAGGAGGAGGAGGAGTGTTGGTAGTAGTAGTAGTAGTAGTAGAAGAAGAAGAAGACTCGTAGTAGCAGTAGTAGTTGTAAGAGCGGCATCAGCAGGAGTTGCATCAGCAGGAGTAGCCCCAGCATTTGTCAGGCTAGCAACGCGGATGCTGCTGAAATAGTGGTACTGTAGCAGCAGGAAGGGGAAGAGAAGTGTAATAGCTACGTTTACAAAAACACAGACTACTGAAGCGTCACAGGAGAATTCGTGTGGTAAAGACGAAGAACAAGTAAAGGGAATCGAAAAATAGATGAGGCGAGTACGATCAGCAAGGATAAGAATACAACTTTAGAATCAGAAGAACAATAACTAGGCACGAAGAAGTGATTACCATAATAAGCATTAGCAGTAGCAAAAGAATAACAGTAGGAACGCCAACGACCACAACGTCACTATCATCAGCCGTTGTGTTGATGGTCCATGCTCCTTGATGCACAGGAAAAAGCCTAAACGAAAGCCACCACAGATTGGGCTTTTTGCAACTGCTGACCAGAATCTTCCAACCCACCTTGCCCTGAATCCTAAATCCTAGAAGCACAACAAGCCCAAAAGCTCATCCCTCTAAAGGGAGCCCTTAACGACCCCTTTAGGGTATCCCTTAAAGGGGCCCGCAGAGGAGCCCTGCTACAAAGCTCGGACCCGCTGGGCCCCCGGGCATAACAGCAATGAGCCACACGCTCCCCGCTGCAGCAAACCTGGGTCCATTCACGGGGAAGCCACGGGCCTTCCGCCGGTTTAGGCTTTAAGGCTTAGGGAAAGTTACCTTCAGGTACTGCAAGGGCTACTCAAAGGAGCTCCTTCATCAGCGGGAAATGCGTACCCACCAGGACCTGAATCCCACACCCTCATTTCCTGAAGCTCGTCGGAGTCTTCCGAGACTTTAGCCTAGGAGATATCTTACATGCTTGAAAGCCCTACACCCAAAACCCTAAACCCTAAACTCCTAAACCCCTAAACCCCTAAACCCCTAAACCCTAAACCCTAAACCCTAAGGCCCTAAACCCCTAAACCCTCAACCCTAAACCCTAAACCCTAAACCCCCAACCCCCAAACCCTAAACCCCTAAACCCTAAACCCTAAACCCTAGCGTCGAAGACAGGCGAGGAGCAGGCAAGCACCGCCTTCGTTTCTCCTGGAATGTCAGGGTCTTCCCCTCTAGCTCGTACTCTGTGTCATCCAAGGAGTCACCACCACCTCAGTAGGGATTAGGGTTTAGGGTTTAGGGTTTAGGGTAGCCCAGCGGGGTTTGGCTTCAAGGCTAGTGCTTCAGGTCCTGGCTGGGCTTTGGGTTCTGGTAGGCCACTTTGACATGCGTGATTGCAAGGGGAAGGCCCATGCCTCAAAGCCGGCTACCTTGAAGCTTCTAGCAACCCCTACAGCAACCTTACTGTGCAGCAATGCTTACAGTAATCCTTACAGTAGCCCTGGTAGTAATCCTCGCAGTAACCCCCATAGCAACCCTCATATGACCCTGGTCATACCTTCTGGTCATCCTTATAGTACCCAATAGCAACCCTTACAATAAGTGGAGCACCTTACGGTGACCCCTAACCACCACAGCTCTCGGGAACCGGCTGGAGGTGTAGGTGAAGCCGTTCGACTCGCCTTCACCTTGCCACGATTTAGGCGTTTAGGCAAAGCGGGTGCTGTGCAGTGTTTATGGCTTAAGTTCAGGGTTTTATGCACACACATGTGCAAGGATTCCACTCGCACAGAATGGCCCACAGGCCCTCCCCAAACCCCAAACCCTAATATCTACTCTTTCGCACACCTCCATCGCCGACCCGAAACATCAAAGGGCTGGTACCCAGATCTGCTCGGAGACAAGTGTTTTCCCTTCATGAGAAGTTGACTGCAAGGGCCGACAAGATTCATGCCTGCTACGAGTTAGTCGGCTTTCCGTCGGGGTATGTGATACAAAAATTTACAAGGACTATGACAGGACACCACTACCAAATATCTAGACTCTGAAGCAACAGCAGGGCTATTGCGAAGGCTTTTCTGAGATAGGCCTGCCGCAAAGGGCAAAGGCAGCAAATACTTCTCGAAGCAGCCTCTTTCATTCCCCATCTTTCCGAATCCAACGGCTGAATGTGCTTCCACAGAAAACTTACACTCCTTTCACAGCGAATAAGCAGCCACACGAGCAGTCCTACTAAATTTGGAAACGTGGGACAATCGTCTCTTAACCCGACTTGAAGTCAACGCTCGAGATTGAAGCTGCTTTGGCTTTCTGATGCAGCCAACCAGCTCGACATGGCTAAATGCACGGAGCAGGAAATGCTAAGAGATGCCTCTGCTTGTTCCTAAAGCTTTGGGGAATGCTTCAAAAACCGAGGCAAAGGATGCTCGCCTGCATATCCTGACTGAGGTCTGCTCTGGGAGCTGGGTCGAAAGCCAACGCTGGGCTTCCATGCGAACTGGTTGCAGGTCGTGTGTAGCTGCTACCCTGTGATCGAAAACTGCACCAGAGTCGTCGGAGACGGGCGAAGCTGTCGAAGGCTGTCGATCGTGTTAGCGCAAATAACCAGACTTATAACAATACTAACAGTCATAACAACAACAACAACAACAACAACACCAACAGCAACAACAACAACAACAAAGCATAGTCATGATGATGATCATAGTAATAGTGGCCACAACAATAATAATTGCACTAGTAATAGTAGTGATAGAAAAGGAACAGTAATAGGAATCGAAATCGTCATACTTACTGGTAATAGTTATAGTACTGATAGCAGTAGTAGGAATAGAACTACTATTAGTATTAGACCGACTATTAGTATTAGTCATAGTAACGGTAGCAGTAATAGTAATAGTAATAGTAATAGTTATGGTAATAGTAATAGTCGTGTAAGAGTAATAGAAAGAGCAAGAGCAGGAGTAAGAGTACAAAAGAGTAAGAGTAATAGCAGGCATAAGAGTAAGGGTAAAGTTAAGAGTAACAGTAAGAGAAATAAAAATAATAGGAATAAGGTTAACAATAGCAATAGCAACAGCAAAAGCAGTTGCAATAACAACAATAGCAAGACTAATGACAATTATAACAATAATGACATTAAGTACAATAATAGCAATGATAATGATACTTATACTAACAATCATGATACCAATAGGAATAAAGACACCAACAAGAACAACAGTAGCTTACTAGTACTACTAGTCCTAGTAGTAGTAGTAGTAGTAGTAGTAGAAGTAGTAGTAGTCGTCGTCGTCGTCGTCATCGTAGTAGTAGTAGTAGTAGTAGTAGTAGTAGTAGTAGTAGTGGAAGTGGACGTGGACATGGACGTGGACGTGGAAGTGGAGGTGGAGGTGGATAGCAATA